GACTGCCCTACATGACATAACAATAGTCTGGAACACTGGACGGGTTCCGCAGGATTGGAAGGATGCCCTGGTGGTCCCCCTCTTTAAGAAGGGGGACCGCACAGACTGTAACAACTACAGGGGCATCTCACTACTTAGTGTGCCGGGAAAGGTCCTGGCAAGGATTATTCAAAATCGCCATGCTAGGCACGCGGCTTTCTAGGCAGGAGAGGCTTGTGGAGCCCCAATGCCGTTTCAGGAAAGGGCGGTCCTGCACATGCCATATTTTCTGTCCGTCTGCTACACCAGAGGTGTAAGGAATTCCAACAAGACCTACAACTCTGCTTTACTGACCTGGTCAAGGCCTATGATACCATCAGTAGGCTCTCGGTTGTTCTTCGTGCTTTCGGAGTCCCTGACCCTCTGCTCATGATCATTAAGGACCTTCATGATGGTGAGCGGGCCCGGGAAAACTACGTGGCCGGGAGTCAGAGCCATTTCCTGTTGTTGTATATGCCGCATTATGAAATTAAGATAAAGAAAAAAATGTAGGAAAATTGCGCAATTCGCATACATTATGCTAATGTAAAGAATTATATGCATAGAATATGATAATTGCGGAGATAATCGTATTATTGTATGCGATTGCTTGTGATTATGTTAATATGTGCAGTTATGATAATTAGATTTAGCTTCGTTATCCAGAGTTGTATCAATCAGGATAACACGATTATCTTTGATTAAACATTTATTGATTATCTTAGTGTGTTTATGTTATGTTAGGTCTCCAAATTCATATCTCAACGCAGGTTACAGTTCTTACGAATAAGACAGTTTTGCATGGACTGGGAAAGAAGCACTCGAGCAATTTTAATTCTAAACAAACATATGGCACTCTAATATGCAAAGGTAAAAGTATATGTCAATAGATTCATCGGCAAGATTATGCAATTAACGAAAATAAATGACTAAAACATTTCTTATTCATGTAACTCGACGGCAGCAACTGTTTTGCACGATCAGCTGATATTGAACGTACCAACTTGAAATTGAAACCCTTTTCCAAACACAAAGATAACTTTTTGAAAGTCTTATTCGTGTGCGTGTTGTGTGTGCATTGTCTCCTTGAAAAATTAATTATTTTTTTAGAGCCGGGAGTTGTGTCGTTAGCTTGCAGGGGGTGGGGGAGGGGGTTATACCACCAACAGCCAGAGAGGTTCTCTCTCGCTGGGGCGTGGCAGCAGCGAGCCCGTCCTGCTTTCTCTCTCCACTGCTAGATTGAGCGGCGTTGGCACGATGTTCCTTGAAGAACTTGGTTGCTTGGCGCTTGATGGTTCCGGGGGCTTGGTGCTGCTCGTGCACTCTCTCTCTCCACTGCTTGATGAGTGGCGTCGGCACGACGCTCGCCGTCGTGGTGCGCGATGATTCCGTCGTCGGATAGCGCGCAACTCCTCCACCGCTGGATGACGAGTCGGCACGATGCTCGGTGACGCCCGGGTGGTGCTGCTCGTGCGCTCTCTATCTCCTTGATCGCTGCCAACTTCACACGGACACGCGCCCTTACTTCAGGGCTGTGTTGGCTCAGGCTCTGGACGACGCGGCTGTGCGCTTGGAGCGCTCTGGCGATGAACGATGGCTCTCGTTGCTCATCCGCTGCTGCTCGTCCTTTGCGATGCTCGCTTGGTCGACGCTTGGCGATTTCCGCCCTTTTCTACAGGTTGATTGCTTGTTGTCACTCGTCACTCTCTCTTTCATTTCTCCGTGCTTTCCTTTGTTCGTGCAGCTGCCAGCTTCACTCGCACTTAACCACACCTCGCCACTTCGTTCCATCTCTCCTCGAGGCACGACCCATGGTTTGTTGATGCCTCGGCAAGCCTCCGCCCTGTCTCCCCTATGAGCCTCCCTCGCAACTCTGCGTCGCAAGCTTGAGTCACACCGAACACGACTCGAACCAGACTGCCATCAGACTGTCACTCTAACGACCCCTCGTCGTCCCATCTCTCCTCGAGGCACGACGCGCCCCAACTCCCTTGCGAGCCCCGTCGCAAGCCGAGAGCAAGACTGAGCGCGACTCGAACCAGACTGCACTGCGTGATGTGCGTTTGTGTTTAAAACCCACAAACGTGAAAAAAAACCCCTCCCCTCTGCGCATCTCTTGCGAGAGAAAAACAACCGAAAACAGACGTCCCAGCTATGCCAGCACGGACCCCCCCTCGCGACCCTTTGACCCCTCCTCCCGCTGAGTGGGTCACCCCGAGGCCACACCCCTCTCTATTTGATGGCTGGCATGTTTGTGCCGAACCGTTAGAAGACAAAGGTTGATGGGGAGGTTCTGACGTTTGCTGTTTTTGGTGGCATTCCACTTTCCCAGATGCCCGGCGTGGAATGTGGCGAGTAGTGGGTTGTTTTCATTATTTAATTAAAAAATATATATATAAAAACATTTTGGCCTAATTATTCTTAATATAAATTTCAAAAAAGGGGCATAGATACAACACTGTACACCTTGGGATGCGACAGGGATGTCCTCTTGCTCCCACATTATTTAACATCTATTTTGACCACGTAGGTCGTGAAGGCTTCAATAGCTGTACCGGAGGAATTTCCATCTGGTCCAGATATAATGGGAGGGTGATCAATGCCCGGTTGCGGTCAAGGGATGACTCCCTATTACTCAACCATGTTACGTATGCCAATGATCTTGTGAATGCTGCTCACTCAGAGGAGTAGGAGGTGCTACTGCTGAACCTGGAACTTGCCACCGGGAGTTGGGGCCTTACCATCAGCCCCACCAAAACTAAGCACCTGCCTGGGTATTTTGTACCATCGGACACTCCACCCCCACAACTCCCAATTAGTGATGGGGCAGTTGTGGAGAGAGTGTAGAGTTTCCTATACCTGGGCAGTGTGCTCATGACCGGCTCCGGTTTAACAGCAGAGGTCTCACTCCGAATCAGTCAAGCGGCATTAACTTTTCATTGGTTGCGTAACGCTGTGTGGGAGCTAACTTCAGTTCAGTTCATGTATTAGGTATAGCCCTGTGAGCCATTCGGCTCTTGAATCGGGTGCAACCGCAACAAACAACAACATGAACAAGAAACATTTTAAAGTGATTACGTGCAACAGAAAAATCCAGGAAAAAACAGCAAAGTCTTCCAGATAAAGCACCGTATATCAATGCTGTGTGCAAGAATCCCAGTGGAATGGAAGTCAAACAATAACAACCTTAAGACAATTTCGATTATCAGTCTAACTCTGTACTACAACAAACAAATATGGCTAAACCAGAACCTTTTCGAAATCACCAAAATAAAGCTACAAAAACAATGTAACAACAGTGATCATAGGAACTGTGATTCCAAATTTAACAATAAACGATACACATAACATGTACGAGCAAACTTTGCAACCATAGCTGGCTGCATGAGTCACTGCATAACAGCTGGAGCATTAGTAGGAATATCAAACATTTTCAATGCATCTTTAAAGATTAGCACACTATAATCAAAACACAAGATGTTACTTTGCAGCGGTCATCCGGAGCGATACATTTGATTTCAAGCCACTGAATAGCAGTGGCAGCTAGGGTTGTAAAACTCCTCTAGAGCAGTTTTGAGTTAAGATCTCATAGGTAGTGATTCAAGTTGCAGTTTATTGGCAATAGCATTCCAGACCCTGGGGGCTTTAATAGCAAAGGCCCTTGCTCCAGTATTTGTACAGCAATAGGGAATGTGAAGCTGGTAAATGAGCGAAGACCTTAGGTCAAATTTGTTCTTTGAAACAGAGAGGAGATCCAGCAGGTAGTCTGCGGATTTATTGTCGTCATACGCATCATGAGATGCGGCGTCTTTTCATAAACAAGCAGTACATTGCACACCATTGGGTGGCAAAAACGTCGTCTTCCTCATGCCCACATTTCCCTCATGATGCATATTAGGACCAACGAAGGTAGCGTCTCTCGTTCCGCACGAAGCTTCAGGTCTTCTCGGCCACAGTCATTCCTTTCCTTCTCTACGCTTGCGAAACGTGGACCCCCCTAATGGAGAATCTTCGCCAATTGTAAATATTTAGGCTGGCCTGCCTACGATCCATCCTGGGTTTAACCAGGCTGGATTGTGTGAGGAGCTCACAAATCCTTGAAAGATCTGGACAAGGCCCCATCGTTGAGCTCCTATGGCAGGCAAGACTGCGTTGGCTGGGCCATGTAGACCGCCTGCCCAGCCACCGCATGCCTAAACAGCTTTTGTTCGGCCGGATCGAGGGGGCTAAACGGGTGCGGCACGGGCTCGAGAAGAGATAGAGTGATGTGGTACAGGAGGACGTGGAGCTGAGTGGACTTGCCGATGACTGGAACCAGCGGTGTCAAGATCGGCCTCAGTGGAGGAGGCTCGTGAAGGACGCTGCTGGGCAGTTGGAGGCAATCGTCAACAACAACGGAGGGCGGAGGAATGACACTCACAACAACGAGCGGAGCGCCGGGTGGCTAAAGCACAAGTTGGCACAGTAGGGGGCACAGGTGGTGCATCAGCCAGTCGTCTCAGTCAGTCGACCCGTGGCACCTGCTGGGTCTGCCCCGTGACCTCCTGCCAGCGGGTGTTCGACACTTCACGTGGTAGCCTCAAGGTGCACATGGCCTGGCACAAGCGTCGTGCTGACGTCACCGCCACTTAGTGGCGAATGGCGGTTGTTGTTGTTGATAGTGATGATGGGGTGATGATGATGTTGGTGATGGTGACGATGGTGCTGATGGTGAATCGCAGGGATGAGGAGGCGTGGTGACGTGAGCGCGCACTTCAGGCAAAGGAGCGGACACACGAACCTGCGATTTGTTCTGCACCGGCGACACCTCTCATGTCCGCCAACCTGAACCTCACCCTCCCCCCTCACCCTACTCCTCCATGCTCACCTCCCCCTTCCCTCAATTTTCACCTCACCCTCCCCTCACCCTCACCTAACCTCACCCTCCGTTCCACCTTCCCCTCACTTCACCCTCTCCTCACCATGCCGCTTCTCCACCGTTGATTGGGTTCCATGTTATACTAATAAGGGTTTTTCCCCTTTTTTCTGGCAACAAAACTGACACCTTTTGCAAGGAATCATGCTTACATTAACCACAATAATTGCAGTCAAATGCAAACACAGAACAATACTCTGATCATTTATGCATTGTCTTTGAAACTGATTGGTCCACACCAGAGACAGCTTTCTTTGGAGCCTAGTTTCATATGGTGTTCGACACCATCTGAGTATTGTTTTTTGTTTGCATTTGACTGCAAGTATTGTGGTTAATGTAAGCATTATTCCTTGCAAAAGGTGTCAGTTTTGTTGCCAGAAAAAAAGGGGAAAAACCCCTATTAGTATGTTTTGGTACTGGCAAAGGAGGTCCCATGATGGGGTACATGTTGTTTATGCCATTTATTGTGAAAATTCCATCACAGTTCCTATGATCACTGTTTCATTGCTTTCATGGCTTTATTTTGGTGATTTCGAAAAGTATATTGGTTTAGCCACTTTGTTTGTTGTAGTACAGAGTTAGACTGATGGCCTTAATCTAAGCTGTCTTGTGGTTGTTGTTGGTTGTTTGACCTGCATCCCACTGGGATTTTTGCACACAGCGTTGGTGTACGGTGATTTTTTTCTGCAATGTTTTGCTGTCTTTTATCGGATTTCTGTTTGCACTCAGTCACATATTCACTTTAAGATGTTTTTGTTCATTTTTTTGTTGTTGTTGCGGTTGCACCCGATTCAAGAGCCGAATGGGTCACAGGGCTATACCTAATACATGAACTTGAACCTAACCTCACCCTCCGTTCCACCTGCCCCTCACCCTCACTTCACCCTTTCCTCACCATCCACCCTCTCCACCATTTATTGGGTTTCTATCTCTCATCATCCTCAGGATGCACGACTCAGATCCACGATCTCCAATCGATCATTACAATACGGCACCCACATCCCAGGGTAGAGAGGCTGCGAGAATCTCTGCCGAACCTCGCGGATCACCTCCATGGAGTCGGCGCGGTAAAACGCCAGGAGCCCCCCCTCCCAGTGCAGGTGAAGCCCGATTCTGCGGGGGGAGGGGGCCCCACTCACCGACAGTGCAGTCTCCACTCCACCATGAACCACTGAGAAGTTGTCATCATATTTCTCTAAACACCAGGACGCGTTGTTCCATCCCAGCTGCAATGCAGCACCACTCCCTTTCCGTGGGATCGTCCCGTACGCGACTCCAACCCGCCACCACCGCGCGTCCCCCACGTCCACCTCCCAGTAGTGGTGGCCCGACGAGAAGCTCTCACAGCACAGGGCTTGTGACCAGCCATCAAACCGGTGTGGGTGATCAGGGCGACCCTGGGAGACAGGGCTCAGCGTCATCGTCCTGAGATCCGAGGAGATCTGGAGTTGGTTATGAGCTGAGTTTGTGTCCAGAGTTGGTGAGCGTCCGTCTGTGACAACAGCGATGACAACACCACTACAGAACACCGTCATCACCATCATCCACCATCACCACCATCAACATCACCATCACCAACCATCATCTTCACCATCAACAATAACATCACAAACATCACCATCACCAAGCATCCTCACCATCAATATCAATGACAACAACATAAACACCACCATCACCACCATCATCAACACTACGAACATCAACAACATCACTATCGCAATAAACAACATCACAACCATCATCACCACAACTAGCACCATTACAAACAATCACCACCATCATCACTACCAACACAACTATCCCCATCACCACCATCTTCATCACTATCACCAACATCACCAACACGACCATCATCATTATAACCATTATAACGACCATCAAAACCATCATGACCACCATCACTACCATGACCACCATCACCAATATCATCAGTACTACCATCAGCGCCATCAGCAAAACCATCACCGCCTATATTATCACCAACGTCACCATCATTACCATCACCACGACCATCACTGCCATCACCACGACCAACACCATCACCAAACCCATTACCATTCTCATCACTCACATTATCACTAACATCATGATCATTACCACCATCCTCATCACGACCACTATCACCAGCATTATGACCATAAAACCAGCATCAGGAACTCATTTGAGGATGAAACTGCCCAGCAGATGCCCAGGACTGGATCAGATATCACCTGCCATTGATGTTAACCATGGCTGATAATTATAATCAATCCCAGGTAACTGGGTTCGTAGTGCAGTGTGGTAACCACGATGCCACCGCTCCCCCCAAGCACAAATGCACAGACACATTCACAGACTCACACTCCATCTCAACATCACAATTACCTCTGACTCGTAATGCTGATTATTTACCCAAGAACACCACACTGAGTCTCATGGTTCTGTTCAGTAGGGTCCAGGAATGGGAAGTGAACAAAGACAGATATTATTTGTGTAGCCTTCACAGACTATTGGGACAAGTGCTGTCCGTGTTTCTCTATGAAGGCTGGCATGGCACACGAGGTGGGTGGCCAGCACCGCGCCCGACCACCTTTGTTTCACTAGTGGCGATTTTGTTTACACACCGAATCAGGTTCCAGAATGTAAACAGATAAATATCCCCCGTGTAGCCTTTACAGACTGTGGGGGAAAATCAGCACCGTTGAAGTTTGACATGACACACGAGGGGTGCGTGGCCAGCACTACGCCTGGCCGCCTTGTCTCCCTAGTGGTGATGTTTATAAAACTCCAGGTAATTATTTGAGGCTAAGTCGACCTCGTGCACACACATGGGGATCATTTATTGTCAAGATGACCCCATCACACATGATTCACACTTAAGAACTCACACAAGCTTTTGACTGCAGTTGTCTCCATGACTTTAAGTGAGGCAATGTCCTCTTGGCTGGGAGCTGAGGGTGGAGCTGATGTAACCCTCCCTGTCCTGTGAAAACAGAACAGACATGGCTACTGTCTCACATAGAGCATCGTCACTCACAGCTCCATCACAGACACTCTTCACAGCATCTTCACGCGTGGGATCGTCACAGCTCCATCACACAGGCACTCATCAAACAAAGCATCATCACTCTACTCACAATTACAGCATCACCACACACAGCATCCCCACACAGCCAATGTCTCACTGTCTGCGCCCCACACTCAGTCCCATGTTGTCGTGTGTCGAGTCGTGAGTGAAAGTCGTCTGTACCTGCGCGTCTCCTCCAGGTGCCCCTGTGGGAGAGAGAGAGATAGATGCGTTACTGTGACTCTACCTCCAATCCCTTGTGATCAGTGGAGTTCCCACTGGAACACCGTGGAATATAAACCCCAGAGTCTTGGCTTATGACCCTATGATCACAACACTGACTTTTGGGAAAAATGTTTCAGAGTGAGACCGCTTGATAGTCAACTAAAAACTATTATTTTAAAATTTTCCAGGTAAGGCTCACGGAGCTATGTAGCTCTTTTACAGATGCGACCTGGCCACAAATGATAGCTCAACGAAGTGGTTCATCACGTGGAAATGTATAGCAGCCCAATACTCTAAACGCACGTTTTCAAATGTGGAGTGAAAAACTGGAGGACCTGGAGAAAATTCCATGTGACCATGGAAGGAGACGTGAAAGCTACAAATATATAAGGACGTCAGGTTTGGGATCAATTCCACGACCTCCGGTATACCAGGGGAGGTAGTTACATTTCGCCGCCCCCATGAGGACCAACACTGATATGCAGGGCAACTATTTCAGAGTGAGACCGGTTGATATTGATCTGTGTTGAGATTAACTAAGGACTGGTAATTTCTGGTGTTACCAATACACATGGTGCAGGTTTTGTAGAAGTGGATGTTCAAGACACAATGATATAATTAATTAGTGTGATACCGTATTTATTTTAGCATCCCTAATATGAACAATGAAGGTAGCGCATCCAAGTGGAGGTACACGAAGTAAGAAGCTGAGATGAAATCAGCTCTTGAGCAGGCGCTGGTGGATTGTTGCATCGAGGCATCATGAGATGTGGCAATGGCTTAGGGACGCCTTAAACAATAAGTGGATAGATTATGGCTGATGACAATCATGAATACCGTGTACATTGTTGTTTTATGGTTTATTTTAAAAGTGAAATTCCAATACTCTTTAGTTCATATTCACCATTAAAGAAACTCAATGGGAATCTGTTGAAGGATGGGAGAGAGAATTAATTTAACTGAGAAAATATGAGCTGGCCTTCCAAATGGATGCCACTGGAGCTGTGATGCGAATCCATGAATGGTGCTGTATTCTCAAGCCCAGTGGATGCAAACTCTCATTCAGGAGCTTCCCTCTCCTGCTGCTGGTGAGAGGGCTCTGTACCAATAGCGACACTGTAGACTCATCGCTCACCTGCAGGAACGCGAGCGAGTCCCTCTCCTGCTCTAGAGCCTGCAGGCGAGTAGCTGCTGCCTGGAGCTCGCTGATCTCGCGCTGGTAGTGAGCGATATTCTTCTGAATCTGGGACAGCAGCTCGCGCCCTTTCTGCTCCACTTGCTCTAAAGCCGCCTTCTCCTCCACATCCAACGCTGCTCTCGTGCGGACGAATCTGACCGAAATTGAGGCCTTTTCATCTGTCATGGACCCCTGCAAAGATAAAGAAATGCCACCTCTGTTCATTAAATGTCTGGTTCTTCGTGAAATGACATTCAGGTCGGTGTGACTTGAGTGCAACTGTGAAGGTGTACAGACAATGATACGAGTCTGCAGCACTGAAGCCTCCTTCTTCCTCTGCCTCCGATAATGCCGCTGTGCATTTTCACTACAACACAATTCGCCATAACGGGTGGGCGCTGTGAGGCATTGAAATCAAAGACCATTGTGAGTGCATTTAGCGTCTGTGCCATTCTCATTGTGCAAGGCAATAAGGAAGCGCGCTTGTTTACATTTGCATGAATCAAAGGGAAATCTGTAATTTGCCTTCATCAAATACATCCTCAATGAGTCTCTTTTCAATAAAATATTGAAATATGGGACGATAGGCCAATTCCTCTTTAAATGTGTGTTTTGATTGTGAGAACAAACCCACCACAGATGTATAAATGAAAAGAGGGGATCATGAACCCACTTGCTATACTGCCACCTGGCCAACCCAAATCCGAACTGGTTTCAGTATTATGGTGTACAACAGTCTATGTGTGATCCACCAAATTTGTCACCAGAGTATTGGATAAGAGGTATTTACTACCTCATCTGACCAATATTGCTAACGGATGTTGAAGTTGTAAGTTGTATGCATATATGGGAATTTTTTATTTCCATCACTGAATCAGTTCCTTATTGGAGATGAGAGACACCTCTTTGCTCGTCTGAGCATTGAGGCACATTGACCGTTGTGTCTTTAGTCCCACGGTGTGTTCAAACCTTGGAGATGAGAGACACCTCTTTGCTCGTCTGAGCATTGAGGCACATTGACCGTTGTGTCTTTAGTCCCACGGTGTGTTCAAACCCAATGGAAGTCCACGTTAATGAATGGGGTTGTCCATCCATCACAAACCCTATTCAGGATGGAGTGACAGGGTCCGGCCCAAACGCGGTACCTGCACGTCCCTGCGAGCGGCCTCCATCCGCTTCACGGACTCCTCCGCCTCCCTCCTCTTCTCCTCCACCACCCGCGTCTCATCTCCCACTTGTTTCTGTGAGAGACGTCAACAGGGGAGACTCCACTCACTCTCTGCGCGTCCCCTCTCACCGACCTTCCACTTGGACCCCTCCACAGTGCCGGTCCCAGCTCCAGGCAGCAGCAGCCCGTGCAGTCATGGAGGCCGGGGGAGAGAGTGCTGCACGGAACTGATTTCACGAAAAGCTCAAATGACTCCTGGAGCTGAGCTCAGAGATCACGGAGCTTGAGTCCAGGACCCACTCACTCTGCACTGCAGAGGTTCACTTCACGTAGATTCACTACCATTGGAGATTCACTGTCATAGTACTAGTATTGTTCTCCTTTTCATTTGACATGGTAGACTTGCTGATAAAATGTGCATATTCTTAGTTAAGATTACATTTCAAGTTCGTATGTGATTTAAATATACTTCTTCTTGAAATAAAATGAAAATCCAGCCTTTATGTCAATCCACTGCTGGATTGAGCCTATCCAATATGTATCCATCATGGGGATTGTTTAGCTATAAAGTTCCACCCACGTCTTCGCTTTACGTCAACTCCTTCTGCAGGTTTCCAATGGATTAATATTCACTCAGGATCCAAACACTAAATAACGCCTGCAGAATTCCCTACAACGAAGCCCTGAATGCTCGTTTGTCAAAACGCCAGGAGGTTGGATATACAAGCACGACAGTAATAACTACTGCAGTCAGTAGTTATTACTGTAACCTCAGTTACAGAGTCAATAGATACTACTATAGAGTCAGCAAATACTACTGTAGAGTCGGCAGATATTACTGTAGACTCAGTAGATACTACCATAGAGTCAATAGACACTATTCTAGAGTCAATAGTGACTGCTGTAGAGTCGGTAGATACTTCTGTAGAGTCAGTAGTTACTACTGTCCAGTCAGTAGTTACTACTATAGAGTCAATCGATGCCACTATAGATTCAGCAGATACTACTATAGTCAATAGATACTACTCTAGATTCAGTAGTTCTACTATAGAGTCGGTTGATACTACTATAGAGTCATTAAATACGGCTACAGGTGGAAGATACCACTGCAGTCAGTTTATACTGCTACAGAGTCAGTAGATACTGCTATTAAGTCCGAAGATACTGCTATAGTCAGAAGATACTACTATAGAATTAGTAGTTACTACTATAGTCAGTGGCTACCATTATACAGTCAGTAGATACGACTGTAGTGACATCGCGGATGTCACTGTATGGTGCTGGCGCTATAGGGGCACGGCGTGCGATGTACTCACATTGCGGACATCATGTATGTAGCGACACTGTGTAATACTGGCTCTCGCGAGGCACAGTGTGCGATGCATTATCATCGCGGACACCCTGTAGGTGGGTGTAGTACCAACCCTAGAGGGGGCTTGGTGAGTGCTGGGATAGTGCAGTGGCACCACACGTGGCGTGTAGTGCTGACTCCTACAGGAGGGAGTGTGGGAGTGTCAGCCATGGGATAAAACAATGCACTATCAAAGTAATGAGGGCTGGGGTGGCCTTCATTACTTTGATAGTGCATTGTCTTTGAGCTGTACGCCTTTTGGCGTCCTCTGATCAAACACCAATTGGGTTGAGGCTCAAAAGAAAGCCGTCCCTTGGTGTGGACCAATACATTTCAAGGACAATGCATATATTATCATAGTGTGTTTTTTTGTTTGCATTGTGACTGCAAGTATTGTGGTTAATGCAGACATGAATCCTCGTAAAAAAAGGTTTCAATTTTGTTGCCAGAAAAAAAGGGGAAAAACCCGATTATATTTTGGTACTGGCAAAGGAGATCTAATGATTCAGATGGTAGTTATTTATGAGCCGCCATCCAACATGCGCCACAAATTCGCTACCCGAAAGATAGGGGAAACCGAGATGCCCCTTGCCTTCCATAGCGCACTTTTGGCGCTGGTGAACGCTGCCTTTCCAAGGATGGACCACGACGGAGTCGACTCGTTGGTCCTTGAGAGACTGCTGGCTTTGGTGAAGGACCTCAACATCATCCTGCCAGCTGTAGACGACGATCTTTCGTCAATAAAAGTGGCGAGGTGCATTCAGGCTCACCAGCTCCTGCAACGGCATAAGGGGTTGGAAGTGGAGCCCATCTCAGCCTGCACATTGACCCAGAGTGGACGCGGGCGAGGGGACGGCATGGTGCGGTGGGCAGACGACCAGCGACGGCGGAAGACATCTCCCCATCCCGGGAGCAGCCTCGTTGTGTGCTACAGCTGTGGCCTGCTGGGGCACGTCTCATCGGGCTGCCATGTACCACGACGATGCCTTCCCGGACCACCGCCGTCATCCCCCCGACCGTCTATCACTCCACTGCACCCTAAGGCGAGTCGCGACACATTCCACACTCGGCCCCTGAATCCATCTCACCCATCTCGTGCGTTCGGGGTTCGTTCCGGTCGCGTGTCAGGGCGGGAGGATCCTGATGTTGACCAGGCCGGCTGGATGTTCCGACCAGGTCAGTGGTCGGAGCTGGTACATCGAGTGGTGGCCGCGAACGCAGGTTCATCCGCTGTTATTGGACGGATAGGGGTGGAAATTAGGATGCTCATTGACACTGGTGCATCAGCGACCATCATTTCGGAATTGATTTATAACATCTTACCCCCTAAATGTCGTTCCTTATGCCCTGTCGAAACTCCGTGCTTCGCCGGAAATGGCGGCTCATTGGGCATTATTGAGAAAATAAGAGCGGAGGTGTGCATTGTGGATGCTAAATTGACATGGCAGGTTATTGTTTTGATGTCCCTTGCTATTCCTTGCTTAATTGGGACAGATGTTTTGGGAAGAATACCCCTGAAATCTTTGATTGACCGCGGGTGCTTGGAATTGCCATCCGGCCGTCGAATAGCATTTTTGCCTTCCCCCACCCGCTTATACACGGCTAATGCTACCGTGCAAGCACTTGCGTGTAGAACGGTGAGGATCCTCCCCGGCAAGCAAATGTTGGTTCCCCGCAAGATCGAGAGACGATGGTGGGAGGAATTCTCTTGGGTCCTGCTAATGAAGTCAGTCGTGGTTTGACGTTGGTGGGGGCGCAGACGTTGGTATCCAACGACTAGGAGCCCTTCATTCAGGTCCTTAACGCAGGGTTAGACACGTCGGTCATCCAGGAAGGTACCGTGTTAGCTCATGCATCGCCAGCGCTTCCTGAGGGAAGCATTGTGGGCAATGTGGGTGCCGCTTCGAATACACGGCCGCACCAGAAACCTGATGAGGGGTGGATGGAGAAGCTTTGTGCCAAGATTGCAGATTTGTCTGAGGGCCAGAGGGGAAAGCTATGAGCGCTTTTGCGCAAATTTTCGGATGTTTTTAGTAAGGGGAAGTTTGATATTGGATGCACTACGTTTTTGAGTCATCACCATCGCTAAGCCTCTCCACGCCTTGATGGCTAAGGGTAATAAATTGCATTGGGGGAGGAGGAGGCCGTGTTTGTTGTGAAATAAAAGACTGCAACGACGATCTGGACTGGTGTCTTCTTATTTGTTTATTACTCTTCCTCAGATGGACAGCTCCGCTCATTCTCTCCCTCTCCCGCACGGTTGCACCCTCGTTCCCGCGTGATTCGGTGTTCGTTCGCGCTAACTCTCTCACAGCCTCTCCCGCTCCCGCGCGCTGCTGACAGGCGGCTCGCTGGGAGGAAGCCTCCGGCCCGCCACATGGCCGCTGGCGTTCCGGAGGCGAGCACGGGGCCCTGCTCTCTGACTCCGCACACTGCTCTCGAGCTCTCTTCCGCTTCCCCTTATATCCCCTGGCCGACGTCACCAAGCCCCGCCTACAGCCACGCCCCCTCACGAAACTTCTAGATGGTTACTTCCCCAGAGCCTTTAAGCTCCGCCCCTAACTCCGGCTTGTCCCTATGATTGGGTGATGGTCCAAGCGGCGGAGTATATTTCACCGATCGGCGATCTTCAGTGAACTCTCGTATTACAGTTGCACTCTGGGATGGCTTGGTGAACGTCCCTCCTCTCTGCTATCCCAATTTTTTGTTGCCGTTCGTCCTTGATATGGATGCGAGTAACACCAAAATTGGAGCTGTTTTGTCCCAAGTTGTCAATGGCGTCGAGAGCATTGTCGTATACAGCAGCAGGGTGCTGTCTCCAGTCGAACAATGGTATTGTGTGACGCGCCGGGAACTGTTAGCCATTGTGGTTTTTGTGCAACAGTTAGCCATTGTGGTTTTTGTGCAACAGTATCGTCCCTATTTGTTTTGTAGGCACTTTAAAGTGCGCTCTGACCACACAGCGCTACAATACGTGCTGCGTGTTGACTAGCTGTCTGGCCATTTTTCACGCTGGTTGGAGGTTCTCCAGGATTCTTTTCTTAAGGTTACCTATCGCAAGGGCTCCCGTCACACGAACGCTGACGCCGTGTTGCGATTACCAACTGCGGCAGATGTGCCTGCTTTTCGGGCTCCGGGCACTTGTAGCCGGTCGCCGAGCCCTCGTCCCCTCCCCTCGCGGCGTCAGCCGACATGGTACCATCTGAGTTGGCCGAGGGACCGGTGGCGCGTGACGCTGTCATTGGGTTGGACCACGCAGAATGGGGGCGCCTCAAGGTGGAGGACGCTTCCCTGCTAAAATTGTGATGCCATGTCAGAGAGCCTGAGGGGGGTGAGGATCAACGGGGTATCGCCTCTGTCAGGGTGCCGGTCCCTCACAGCCGACTGCTGGGTAGAGCTGGCAGGAGCTCACCAGGTGCCTGGGTCAGCTGCTCTCTGCCGTCCGCGCAGCTGGTCGGCCAGCTTGCCACGGCTGCGCCCACCATAGGAGCCACGGTAAATGAATAACAAACAGCTGGAGCGCCTCCTGCCACTGTGCCCGTGGTCGAATTCCCCGCCATTTTGCCCGCTGTTTTGAAGCGGCATACTTGTCGGTCGGCCAAGGAACCAGAGGGGCCTGCACCGCGGGAGCTGGAACAGGCCTGCGCTTCATTCAGCCGGGGCACCCGCGGTAGAGGTGCCAAGAGATGGCAGGCGGAGAAGGGTTGGCAAGAGAGGGACAC